CCCCCCCCCAGGAATCAAACTCGGGTCGGGGAACACTGGTGGTCCAGAGGTTACGGTGTTCTCCTCTCAATCAAAAGGTCCCGGGTTCGAATCCGAACAGAGACAGAAACATTTTCTTCTCTATAATTTTCTCCATTCACCACCTTTCCTGCTCTCTTATATTTTATGGTCTGTCGTCTGCGTTCGTATCCATTTTCTGCTTCAATTCCCATTACTGGACACTCCTCTGGGCCTCTTTTTCTTTCAGCAACCTTTCCACTGCTATTCCTTGGCTCCTTCTTACTAGTGTCTTTCAGTCACATCCCTGATCTTATGGTAGGTATAAAGATCTAACACCTAGCCTTCTGGGATAAGGGCAAAAAATCTCGGAGATCACGTGTGCAAGTTGCTCACGTTAAAGTTAAAGATCTCTTGGTGGTCCAAAATTGATAAGGCTTCGGTCGCAACCCAGGGAAAATTCAAAATTAATTCCCACCAAATTAAAAAGGTTTAATGTGTCCCGCGCGCTCATATCACCTTACGCAGTTGCGAGCGCCATGAAACACTCCTTACCAAAACGAAACAAATCTCGGGGTCTCCTGCACATGATGCCCAAAGCGCCTAGCCGCTACCTCACAGATGCCGCTGATTGTCCCTCAGTAAGCTGTAGTTGATTTTCTTCTTTTGTTGGAACAAGAGAATCCCATTGACATAATAATGGACATGACCTAGTACAGGGAACGAGTGAGATAGACAGCAGTGGCGTCTGGAGGGGCGTGGCTTGCGGCTTAAGCTCGACCAAGACTTCCTCACTAAAACATAATACATGCACTGCTAACTAAAATCAAAACAAAACATTTAACAAAAGAAATAAAACGAACAAAATATATTCCCCCCCAAAAATCGTCACCATACGAAGACAAGTACGAAAGTGTAAATAAAATCTGGTTGATCTGGGCGTATACTACTATTTACTACGACTAAAGCCAAGTTCTATCCAATCAACAAAAGTACTCCTTCGGTTGGGGAGAAAGAAATTCCATTGATCATTGATGTGTCTTGAGTGAAACTACAGGCAAACCTCGTTATATCGCCACCCTTCGGACGAACATGAAGTTGTCGGAACAGCGGGGCTGGCGGTTAAACGGGGTTCCTCTGTCGTATAGACCTGACTGCCTGGAGTCAAGGAACGTGATTTTGCAGTGAGATTTGCGTTTGAAAAGTCTTTTTGTTGATGATACACAGGTAGTTGGAGCCGAGAGTCTTCTCTACCACTTTCTCTATGTCTTTCTCGAAGAATAAAGACTATTAAGTAGTCTACCAGTGAGTGTTGTGCGCTGTGTACAGTGTATTCTTCTGGCGTGTTCAGTTTTGTGGTGTGAAGGAGTAAATACTATGTTTATATAGGCGCTCCTTTTCGTACATTGGTAAAAACCTGTCGGAAAGCGCGGCTGGCGGTATAAAGGAGGAATGGGGTGGTACAACGAGGTTAGACTGTATAGACTTTACTTGCATTTGTCAGGGCCGAGACAGACTGCTGGTTCACACTAGGGTCGGGGTTGTTGCTGCATTCACGTACTGTATGGTGATGTACAGACCTAGCTCAACAGGTAACTTGTGGCTCCAGACTAAGGCGTAGACTAAGAAACTCTATCTCGAGCAGAGACGAGATCTCATCCAATATATGGGGATCTTTCAGAACTGTGCTCTTTCTCTTTGAATTTTGTTGGAGGAAAGAGAAGCACATCATGACAATAATGATCATTCTGTGCTGGGAAAAAGAAAGACAGATAGACTTTCAATACTATCATATACACAAACAACAGAGGGAAAGTAAAGAAGTAGGACCTACCAGTAGCACCCTCCAACCACCAGCATGCTCTTTTGTAATTATTAGATTTGTTTTTATCAGGAAAAAATAGTGTCTAAAGCCAGAAGGGGATGAACACAATGTGAAGGAACTTTATACACAATGTATAGATAATCATCACTATAAACAATCACTGCATTAGCAGCACGTAAATTTCTCTTCACACTGAAGTGAAGTGCATTAACAGCATGTAAATCTCTCTTCACACTGATGTGAAGGAGCATGTTGAAAAATGTACATTTATTCTCGCTGTTTACTACATGGAGTAGTTAGCAACAAGATACATGTACCTTGGTTACAGTTGAATTTCACTGATACCATGGTAGCAAAGATTGCTATTGTTTAGTCCTCTAATCAACATAATATTGATAATTTGAGTGGGGGCGGCTTTTATCTTGTTGTCAGGGCTATCTTTAGCTGAGACAAATAATTAAAGGATGGAGATACTAGATAAGATACTTCCCTATGCGGGAATCAAACTTACGTCTTTCGCGTGTAGTGAGAATAAGCCCAACCATTTTTGGTTATACCACAGATGCCAGTCATTACAACCAGGTTAGGGCAATAGAAATAAACATTGAAATGAAACAGAAGGAGCAGACTATAAAACAATTAAATTTCCGTATCACGAAGCCTTCTTTAAAAATAATTCTCTTCCACTAGATCTAGATTCTATCTGTTTAACAAAGCTTGTAACAATTAAACAGTTTTAAAAAAAATAAAAAAATCAAACAATCAAAAGTGAACTCCCCGAATTTTTATTTATGAAAACAAGAGATGGACATTTGAATGTTCAAGACAAGCTCAATCATATGAAAAACAAAAACAATTCTAAGACTCCCCGCATCAGTGTACAAAAATTTTGATGAACTGAATACACTCCATGACAAATCGACATGTACAATAAAAAGCAACTTAGGGACGTGCAACCGTATAAAATAATAACCACGAGTTGTAAACCAAATGATATCACACTGAAAATCCAACGGGGAAAAACAAATAGCTAATACATATAAATAAAAACAAAAGACCCCCAAAAACCAAAGTGTAATGCAACGGCAGCTCACACACGGTAAATGACACCCCCACAGCATTCCTTGATCACACTGCTCACCTCAATAACTCAAGCAACACACCCAGGAGGGGGGAGAACTGTCATTTTTCGACATTCCCTTTTGATCTACCAGCTGGGAAAATTATAAAACAAATGTAAACATAACTGAGAAATGACTTCAGCATGGAAATGAACAGACTCCTCTGCAATAGTTAAAGCCCACGACATGTGGGAAAATGTCCACCGTATTCTGCTTACAAGAACTTGAGCATAAGCTGCTTCTGCATTTCATGCACTGCATTATCTTCTTGCAAAAGACAAACAATATTTTTTTCCATATAGGAGGAGAGGGAGAAAATATTTTTAAATGGTTATCTTCGCTTGGAAGGGAGATTCTGAGAGTTTCTGGTTCAATCACATTGAAAGAGTCCTTAGCCATCCAAACTTGAGTATGATTATCATATGAAATAGTTTGCGTATGCTCTCAATAAAGATACTGAACTTGGAAATGAATATGAAAAGGACGATGGTACTGGATCATACCAAAATGCTGCGTACCAATGCTGGTCAAAAACATAAATGATTTGGGTAAATACTGTCTCCGACTCCCTCCCAGCCATCTGCCCAGCACAACAACTGAGATGCCTGGACACTTTAAACTTAAAGCTTAACTATCACAACTCACAGAATTACAAAATGAAATCGGAGGAAAAAATATCAGAGTGCAGTGTAATTCTAGGTTGCTACTCATACAAATAACAAAAGTGCTTCACAAAAAAAAAAGAAGTTTCTAGAAAAAAACAGCATGCAATTCAAGCCTAAAGCTGCAGTGAAAACTCTTTGATTACAAAATATGACAGGAAAAAAATTATATTCCTACAATAGTTTGCAGCATACAGTACTGGCTGACAAAGTTAAACGTGTGACAAGGAAAAATGAGTCAGTAATGAATCTGTTATCAACAAGAAGAGAAGGAAGAAATAATGGGCACAACAGTATCCACAAAGACCACAAATTTTTATAATTTATCACTCAGCAAAGAAAATTCTGTATGTACAAATCTTGCATTTAGAAATTATATACAGCACTGAACCTTCCTTTAAACATGTGCACAGCAGTCATGCCACAAACACACACATACTCTCACACATGCAGACACACATACACAGTTGCTCAGATGGTCCCTCACACTTGCTGGCTTCTGATTACTTGGTTTGTACCAAAGTATTGGACATCCTGCAAGAAGAGAGAGAAAGAGAAACATGATGAATCAACAAGATACTCTGTTTACATCATCAGGCTCAATAACCTGAGTGTGTGTGTAAGTGTGTGTGTGTGAGTGTGTGTGTGTGAGTGTGTGTGTGTGTGAGAGAGAGAGAGAGTGAGAGAGAGAG